ATAAGCGAAGGACACCTGTTTTAGTCTCATAGGAGTACAGGTCCATGAGGAAGTCACACCACTTTTGTTTAAGAGGACTATTTTTGTATCTGCACACTGATGATAACAGCTCCAGTATCTTCTCTCCTGTCTGCTGTTCTATCTCTGCTGCTGCACAGAACAGATTACCAAAGAACCTTGTTGTGTCTTCATCTGATGTATTAGTATCAACACTGGAACAATAAGAAGGAAATATTTAGTGATAATTTGATCTGAGCTGCATAAAAACAACCACACACTACTAATGGATGAAATGCTAATTCCACTCATTAACACAAATACCTTTATCATGTCTGTGTGTTTAATCTGGATGTTTGGTTGCTATTGTTTCTGTCTCTCTTCAGTAAAATGAAACTATGATAAAAAATTACAGACTGTTTTATTTCTTTGTAAGTCAGAAAACTTAGAACTTTACTTAAGGAGCTCTTTGGAACTGAACCTGACTGGACGCTGACCTGTATACTAAAACTAAATGACTACAAACCAGAGGAAAGTTGAACTTGATGAATGAACTAAAGAAATTAACTAAAGAAAAAACTCTTAAACGTCCCAGAGACACTTTCCTGCATTATCATGTGACAGCTTTTGTCACTTAAATATGAACATTATGTTTGTGCTGTTTACACTTGTCTGTGATGCTCTGTGAAATATTCCCCATTATTTATCAAAAGTTAATATTCACGTCAAAAGTTTAAGACCACACCTCCAAGAAAAACCTGTATCCCCGACAAACAGAAATCAAAGGCTATAAAACAGCCTGTACACTTTAAACGTTGTTTTCAATAAATTGCACGTTCAAAAAATGTTTTCTCTCTCCCATTTCTTCTTGTTGCATGTCTACTTGGAGCCTCGTTAAGATCCAACCATGCAAAAAATTATTTTCTGCCATTTTTCAAGTGGTCTTAAACTTTTGATCAGGACTGCATTTTCCAATATTTACTGAGTAAGTAAGTAATTTAGATTTTGATCAATTTACTGTTAGAAGTGCTGCTGGAAGATTAAAAAAATAAAAAATTAAGTTAATATATTTTTTAAAACTATTAGATTAGATTAGATTAGATAAACTTTATTCATCCCTCGGGTGGGTTCCTCTGGGAAATTT